CGCTAGCACTCTTCGGGATAACATCAATAAACTCTACCCCCCCTTTCAGCCGCTTATAATGAGCCTTATGGTCTGAAACATGCTTCAGAATATCGCGAACGAGAGCCTGGTCATTAGCTGGTGCACTATTGGCCTTCACCACATAGGCCTTTGGAGCTTCACCCCCATCATCATCCACAACACCTATTACGGCAGTATCCACCACGACTGGATGGGTAAGTAGATGCGCTTCGAGCTCGGCGGGAGCGACTTGGAAGCCCTAGACAGCAAAATATTAGAGGAATGTAGTAGGTCTTCATTGTGGACGTATGCAGTGATCCTTACCTTGACCTTAATCAACTCCTTGATTCTATCCACTATGAAAATATGATCTTCTCCACTTGGGCTCTTCCGTACAACCGCCTCGTCCCCAGTCCGTAACCATCCATCTTGGAAGGTCGCTTTATTCGCTTCCTCATTGTTTAGGTACCCGAGAACAATGGTTGAGCCTCGTAAGAGGAGTTCGCCGGGCGTATTGTACGTTTCAATCTCATCTCCATCGGGTGATACGAGACGTGCTTCGAGCGAAGGAAGTAGGGATCCTGATGAACCGAAGAAAATGTCGTGAGGGCTTGTAGTGGTTACAATAGCTGTGGTCTCAGTGAGTCCTGTAATAGATTTAGTTAGCCAGTTTTAATGAAGGTGGGTAAATGTATGGACAGAATTTCTACCATAGGCTTGAAGAATTGACCATGAGGGTTGCAGATTGCCCAGTTGCTCTGCAGTTTCCAGGCCGAGAGGAGCTGCACCGGTGATTATTGAACGCACGCTGCTCAGATCGTATCTCCTCATGAGTTCCTCGTTCTTTACCATAGATATAATTATGGGGGGAACCTGTATTTCATGTTAATATAAATATACCATCTTCCTCGCGAAATTATAATGCACTAGATCTAGAGAGAAAAAAAAATACATACCAAATATAAAACATTTATCCTGCATCTGTGTATTGCATCGAGAAAGGTCTCAAGTTCAAATTTATGGAGTACCACCACGCACTCCCCTCGGAACATAGAAGTGTGAAAAACTGAGAGACCAAAAAGATGGCCTTGGGGCAACAAACCCAGAGCAACATCTTTCTGATCAGCCGTGCGCGTGTAGCTTTCAAAGCTCTTCAATAAAAGAACCTCTGATATCATATTCAGATGAGAGAGCATTACCCCTTTCTATTGAATAGGTAAGTTGTAGTCATCGGTCTTGACAATCCTAATTCTTAACTGAACTTTTGAATATGATACGGAGTCTTCCGAAAAAAGCACGAAAAAAAAAAAAGAAAAAAAAAGGGAGAGAGAGAAAGAGAGAGAAAAGAAAATATGAAAATGGAAAAGAAATAAATAAAATTATACACACTGGCAATCCACTCGTCCCACTCGAAAAACACAGATACGCACATTGCCTGGCGCCCTGGCCCTTCTTCCATTTCAAAGGCTCCAACTCGTTAAGCGCAGAGCCCCTCTCGATGAGCTGGTTTAAAGAAGTGAAGTCACTTGGAGGCCTTAAGCTACCTAATAGCTCCTGTGGCATTTCTAGAATGTAGATGCGGGAGCGTGGGATTCCGCATTTTGCAGCAGCCTCCAACGCCGTGCCCAGCAGTGGTAAGCAGGTGAATACGACCGATGCCTTAGATGCCTTAAGCTGATACGCCAGCTCATCAGCAGTGGAAGCGGCGTTGATCAACGTCGCTATCCCCGAAAGTCTCTGAACAGCCCAGCCCAGGGCAAGGTAGTCAACCTGTGGTATTCGTGAGCTTAGTTTTATCAGAGACATCTATTTGTACATAACGTTTTCTCCTGCTTTCTTTTTGAGGTTTGAGAGCAATAATTGTATACCGTATTCAATGAAAAGACACCTATGATCTTCTCCCATTCAGAACCACGATTGGGATGCCATCCAAACTCAAGGGCAAAGCTTCTGGCGAGATAATCAACGCGTTGCCGCACCTGGACGGCCGAATAGCCCTCTCCAGATACACCCCACACGAAAGGGCTACGGGAACTCTCGAGAGAGGGTCTCCCGTACTTCTCGTTGAAGATAAAGTCGCATATTGGTATTGAATCTGGGATTGAGCCTGATGGCACGCCAGGAGCCCAGGAAGGGGCCTTGAATATCATGGTGTTGATGGGGGGTGGACATCTATGAAGTATTCAAATAATCAAAGAATGATGAAGCAAACCATCCAGTCATCGAGCTTCATGGAGGACAATTGATGGCTGCTTAAATATGCATCGTTTGTCCTTCCAACACCAAGATTGAATTTCAGTTGGAAATCAGCTAGATTCCCAAAGATATGGGTGAACTTCAAAATTTGGGCTAAAATAATCCAATGTATACATGTGATTGCCTTACTTAGTTAATTGGTCAACTGTTAAAGCCATTTGCATAATCCCGAGGTTGCATCCTCTGCCCGAGCTCCCGACACCCAGAGATATTTGGGAGTTCTTGTAGATCTAGGGACCATCCCAAGCAAAAACGACACGGAAGGCAGATATCATTCTATCTGCTGCTGGGGATTTTATGAAAGAGCTTATTATTGCATAATGAAAAACTTGAAATGATACAATTCGAATATGCATTCCATCTGACAGAAAATGAATTCGATTCGGCAACTATTGGTTATAAATTTTGTTTTTTCAAGGTGGATGTCTTTGACTACATTACCACCCAACGAACTTGATTTAACGTACCATTGACCACGTATTTTAACGAGACCCCACAACGCATTGAGATATTCATATTAAACATTAAAATTACACATGGAAAAGATCGTATAAATATATATGGATTAATTCATAGAATGCATTGCTTGTCTTTAATAAACCATCTGAAATGTGAAACTTACGATGTTCGAACACTTGAACTAGATGCGGGCATGGGAGAGCTTGGAGGAGGCATATCAATTTCTTCTGCCAGGGATAGCTCTCTGCAGATCTGATTACTGCTTTGAGCAGGTTGTATAGAGGCTGTCGAGTGTTTTAATCCCACTGTTGTCTTCTTCATAGGCCTCTTTTTGATGCCTGTGCCCACACCTGCTTTGCTAATGGCCAACAGACATATATTCTTAATTATATTCAAATAGTTATTATAATATATAAGTTATTGAGACATCCGTGGAATTTGTAGGTTAGTAAGCTCGTAGTAGAGAAACCTGAAAGGCTTCGATATCAGATTTCTTGCCCATATTGAATGTCGCCTGATGATTATTGCATGTATGCTAATAAACCATTCTACAAAACCTGGTGCCTTTCCGCAATCAGCTTAACCAGAGAAAGTCGACTCTTTTATTCAATGCCCCCAGCAATTAACAAGAAAAAATATTATCACTGTGTGGATCAATATAACTTAGATCAATTCCCGTAGACTGAAGTTTACCCTATATTAGACGCGCGCTTGGCGTCTATCCAATCAGGAGGCAGCCGCGATTCGTGTCCGGCACCCAGAATGGACAAACTCCCATATATTCTACTTAAAAGATAGCTCGGGACGACGCATACGAAAAACCTCGACAATCGCTTGTCTTCTTCCTATACACAATATATCTAATCTATTCGTCCTCTTTTGTCCATTGCTTTATCTTGTTACAGTGTCTCTCATTCCATAAATATGGCATCAGGATACGACAGAGCGCTTTCAGGTCAGTCAGCTAAGATTACAGCTCTCAAGCTGCGATGCATTGCGATTGCCTGACATGAAATACAAACCTCCTAACATTCTGTCTACAGTCTTTAGGTATGCTTGCGTATAAGGAGATATATCCGCTCTTCTTGACACTATTCTAACTCCGTTCGAAGTCCCGATGGTCATGTTTTCCAGGTAGAATATGCGCTCGAAGCTGTCAAGAGAGGTATGTGTTTGCGACGCACCACCGTACCAACTACCCCCTCATACTACGGTATAACTTTATATTGATATCCCCTCCTCAATGAGACAGGCACCTGCGCCGTCGGTGTGAAGGGCAAGGACATCGTCGTGCTGGGCTGCGAGAAACGCTCCGCCATGAAACTACAGGATACCCGCATCACACCCTCCAAGCTCTGTCTGTTAGACAACCACGTCTGCCTCGCCTTCGCTGGCCTAAACGCCGATGCCAGAATACTCGTCGACAAAGCCAGGGTAGAAGCACAGTCCCACCGCCTCACGGTCGAAGACCCCGTTACCATCGAATACATCACCAAGTACGTCGCCGGCGTGCAGCAGCGGTATACGCAGAGTGGCGGTGTGAGACCGTTTGGCATTAGTACGCTGATTGTTGGATTTGATCATGGCGATAAAGTCCCGCGTCTGTACCAGACGGAGCCTTCGGGGATTTATTCGGCTTGGTAAGATAGAGGTTTCTGCATGGGGATATTTATATGCGTATTTATCTTTCTAGGCTAACAGGCGGGCTACAGGAAAGCAAATGCCATTGGACGATCAAGCAAGACGGTCCGGGAATTTTTGGAGAGACATCACAAGGATGATATGGATAGGGAGGCAACGATTCAACTGACGATCAAGTCGTTGCTGGAGGTTGTGCAGACTGGGGCTAAGAATATTGAAATCGCCATTATGGCCCCCGGGAAATCTATGGAGCTACTACCCAGCGAGCAGATCGAGGCTTATGTTAAGAGTATAGAAGCCGAGAAACAGGAAGAGGCTGCGAAGAAGAAGACGGGCCGGGCTCCTGGGACAGGCACGGCGGCAATATTAACTAGGGGCGGAGGTGAGGGTGCCGAGAGTTGATCGTTCGTTTTTAATAATTGGTGTTGGCTATGATGGATGGGTTGTTTTACGCTGCCCTTGCTCTCGATCTAGAATTCCGTATCCCAGGCCTGTTCTTTTGTTGTGGAAATGGCCTTGAGATCATACAATATATTGCATTTTCAAATAGGGGAAAATGGAAGTGTCGTGAAAGTAGGTAAAAAATCATCATAAAATCATAAAAATTTCAGGAAAACTTAGGCATCCCATCACAAATCATAATCCTACCCAAGCCGATCGGGTGCGTCCTTGACATTGAAGATTGTCCGCTGGTCTTCCTGCCGGACACGTTCATCCTTCAACATTCTATTAACAACCTCAGAATATTAGACGTATCCATTGTACATTATCAGTCATAGTAGGAGTGGAGTGTAGCGTTCACTCACCTAGAATCAATACGGGCATCTTCTCCCTCTATCTTCAAGGCTGGCTTGGGAGTGACTGCCTCTAAGACAAAATGGTTATCGCAGTGCGGGCAATACTCGTCGCTGTTCAAGAGAAGGATTTTAACCCAAGTCACAAAAAATTAACGCCCCGCTACCAACCAACAAACAAACAACCTTCATCAGCCAGTTAAAAAGTTATGTTATACCTCTCCTCGAACTCCCGTGCATCTTTCCGGAAGCACTTCTTGCACTTCTTGCATGCGAATGTCTAGGCAGACACAGGGTCAGAATGACGCCCTTGTCCAAAACCGCTATTCAACGAGGGCAGGGGAAAACGCACCATATCGAACGACTGTAGCAGCTCATGCTTCTCCTGTTCCCGATGGCATTCTGCACAGTCGAACCATCGTTTGCCTGTGAGTATAGCAAGGATGAGGATTGGGACTAGGATCTAAAGATACCCTATTCTGGCGGTCCAATGCCCAAAATTGGGGGGGTTTTACTCACAGCAGGGCGAGCGGATGGAGACCTGGGCGTTCAGGATGTGTTTGCTAGGCGAACAAGCTGAATGAGCAGGGGACCAGGAGTTAAAAGAGGCAATAGAGAGAAAAATATAGAGAAGATCAGGAACTGGGTCAAAATGTGAAAGGGAGTCTATGCTCTCACCTACCACATGGCTCTATGGTATGTTGTTTAAAGAATGAAGGAAACGGCGGCGGCAGCAGCAGCAGCAGCAGTGGGCAAAAATTACGGAGATATATCTCTGTAATATTTTTTGATATTCTTTATTTATATATATCTTTGTTCCTGTACCCTGAACAAAATAAATGCAGGGCGCCAGAGGTCAAATAGACGGAGGTTTGAAGTTACCAGGCTTGAATCTCCTCGTCTTGCGCGAAGGGAATCTAGGCGTAACTACATCCAAGATACTTTTTCTGCGCGGTTGATTTACGGGTTCTATTGGTTCCTTATTGCCACTCGCGATTCCGTCGGGCAGTACCTAACACGTTAAGTTCAAGCAGTTTACCCGTGCCTTCGAGAATGCCGCCTTCGCCTTCGCCGTGATCCAAGTAGCTTGAAGTTTTGTTTTGTTTTACAACGTTTGGTTCATTAGAGGAGATTATGCTCACCGGGACTGGATAACAGGGAATTGAACCTCCACTGCTTCCCTCGCCATCAGCTCCTCCGTGTCTCCCTTCCCCCTCGAGGGGGGGTCAGTCAGAGCGCTAGTTAGGTGTCTCATAAATACTCAACAGGCTCGCCGCCAGACCTCAGCGTTACCCATGGTGTGGCTGGATCCCTAGGAGAAAGGCCGAACCAGAGGCTTCACCCGGCTGCATCCCTCAGTCTGCTCATGTAGCTGTTTGCCAGTCCACCCTGCTCAAAGGAGTTATCGGCCGCCCGTCATCCCCTCCCCTCCAGGAGCTTGAGTCGGCCGCGTCTTCCAACCTCCTGAGGCATCTGGGACACTATGTTTATGTCCGGTGTATTTGTTCTGGGTGTTCTCCCCAAGTTAGTTTCGAACTGCTCGGCCCGCGTTTGTTGGTGCTCTTGCACCCTGCTAGTGTGCGCTGCTCTTTCAATTGTGATGTTGCCGGTCTTTGCTGTGATCAGTCCTTTTGAGTCCAGTGGATTAAAACACATTATTTTATCTTTCCTTCAAAATGATTTCATTTCTCTTAGAAAATTTAGTTATATACTCTACTGTCGGAAGTTCTAGTTATATCTATGGAGTCTATAACAATTATACTTTACTCTCTAAGCCCTTTCACTATACACGGTATAGAATTGCTCCATTTCATACCCTAAAGATCTTCCTATAACTATGGAGTAATCTGAAATAGAATTTACTCCGTATCTGCTCATTCGGCTAACTGCCCAGATTCGGGTCAATGTGTTGCCCGGATTGGTAATAAGGAGCCAACTTGGATAAGACGTTGTTAAACGCCTGGCAGAAAAAGCACTTCAAAGTTGCCACGACCCCAAACGAGGATATAAATATCGAAGAATACGAATGTAGTTCTTGTAAATAAAGATGAAGGACTTCAGGTAACAAAATCTAGCTATTATATCCGTATCAGAAGAGGATTTTCAGAGAACATCATATAGCTCATAGAGATGAGTAGGCCCTCAAGATGCAGCCATCACTGGGAAAGGTGTAACAATTGCTTTGTCCGAGAGCAGGAGTCAGCCTTTCACGCTCACAAATTAGATCAGGTTTTAATCAAAAGACGAGATTCTATTTTGAACGTGAATTTTAACTGGAGAGTGAGGCCAATGGCTGCCTTTCAGTGTTGGCGCCCCACCCCTCTATTGATGCCCTTTGAAAGATTTGGAATTGCATCCTTCTTGTGTCACCATGTTGTAGCATCATATACGGTGGATTAGAGATTAGTAGTGCATTGTGAAGGGAAGCTCGGATTCTGAAGCTGTGGCTTTGTTTTCCTGCAAGCTGAGACCATGGTCCCGACAACATTTTCCGGCATTGATACAATGCCAGACACCTCTGGGGTGCACATTGAGAAACCCCCTTGTCGGACATTGCATATTCTCGAGCGATATTCTGGAAACTGTTGTTCTATCCAGTTCAGCTAAACCATAAACTGGTCAAGTTCTGATTCGGGTATTGTTCAGAGATGATATGCTCGGCTGGTCTCGTAGGATCCTCCGATCCTGATCTCTTCCTCCCGCCGTTGGCAGCCCTCCTTGGCTTTCGTTCTCATCCTAGCTAGTTTCCGGTGCTGAAAGCTGAGGTACTCCTTCCATTTCATCCACTTTGTCCTGCTGATTGGGGTCAAAGTGCAGGCGAATGTCGCCCTTGATGCCCTCATTTTTGTCGGTATCCAGGCACGACTTGCTGATACTGGGGGAATATCTCTGCAGTCTCGAGATTCCGCCGTTGGAACCCCTGAAAATAAATCCATGTCCATAGTTGCCCAAGTAAACCGCCTTTGGAACCCCAGTAGTTGATGATACCCCCCCATACTCACCACGGGTGCCTGGGTCGGTATACCAGAGTTTTTCCAGAGAAGATGCGGGTCTTCCGCCCTTCTTCATCTTCAGCCCAGTTTTCAGGATCTGCTGGATCAATCCGCCTGCGAATTATCAGCAATTTAAACGTCTAGTCACGCTTGCGTCAAGTTCGAGCGACCTTACTGCTTCGAGATTGCGTGTAGTATTTAGGTGTGTCCAGATCCGGACAGATATCTCCAGAACAGTTGGCATGATGTAAAAGTGGAAGCGAGAGTTTTTCTCTGGCTTGGACGGGAATTTACAGAAACTGGTTTTTGTCGTTCCCGGCATTTGTTGTTGCCTCCACTATTAATGAGCACGCTTCCTTCTCACCTGAAATCTATGGTTGCTCCCTACGATCTATTTTGACTATTTATTTTAATAACTTTTTTCTCAAATATAATTTTATACATTTTGAATAAATCTTTGATCTAAGCTAAAATCATTTTTAAATAATCTTCAGATTTTCACATAAAACCCATAAAGTTAAGAAATAATATATATATTTTTCTACATGCAATGTCATATAAACTAACTTATTGCTGCTTAATTTGAAATTTTTCAAATATGGACGAGGTGAGTTTCCAGTAGGTGATCACTTAATACGGTATTGTTTGTAGCTAGACATATGGTTGAAACGCGTCGCGGGTGGATTACGTTAGGCTGAGCCTGCGGAGAAAACAGTTGTTAGGGTTGCTGGAGCTTGCCCTCGCATCACGGGACAGAGAGCCGCGCAGCCCCTTGGACCTCGGGAGGTTTGCTCTCGAGATTTCCTCCGCGTTGAACAAACATCTCACCTCGACTCTCAACACCTGCGATACATACAACAAGACAACGAGATCATCCAAGGGCCAACTGCAACCCATCCCCCAGATCCCATCTTCCCCCGGACACAGGACCCGTTAAGGTTAGGGCGGTCTCGCTTGTGCTGGTGTGGGAACTGTAAAGCTATTGAGTTAGTTCTCCTTAAGTCGCTTTCTCCTGCCCACTCCTGCGCCGTCCCCTTAAACTTTTTGACGACCCAACATCAACTTCGTAGTTTTCTTATTCCACACAAACGGCCCTTCCCCCCCCCCAACCCCCCCCCCCCCCGGTCAGCGTCCTATACATGGTTGAAGAACAACATTGAGGGTCTTCTTTCGCAGCTAGCGTTTGCTGCAAATTCGCCATGGAGCACAGGAACAATAATGGCAATGACGGCACCGATGACGACTCCATTGTATGACCTCCAGCCCTACCTTTTTCATTTAGGTGAGAGTATAGCTACCTACATAATCTAGCTATTGCTTACTGCTAGGTAGATCTCTATGCTGACCTGAACCATTTTCCTCCTCATATAGAAACCGGTTTCCTCACTCCTCTCTCATTTCGAAAACCTTGCTCGTCTCAAACCCAATTCACATCATGCATGCCCGACTCCCGCATCTCACGAACATCGCGATTCCCCCTCAACGTTTCTGGAAACTCCGCACGTCGTCCTAGGCCGTGCCTCACTGGATCTACCGCGCCCGGACACCTCGATCTGGACAGCTTCCCACTCCCACTCCCACTCCCCGTCCTCGTCAGGATGGCTTCAAACATCAAGGAGAGATTCTGGAATTGCTACTCAAAACGCTGATGGCTCTCCCGGCAGGCGGATCCCCGCAAGACCGGTCTCGATGAATGTGTCGTCTGCCTCGTGGAAAGCCCCGGCTCTAACAGTAAATACTCCCCACTCTAGCTCTCAGAGGAACGTCATTCCGGCCGCAGAGAATCGCACGAGGGAACCCCAACAAGCCCCCGAATTATCACTTCCTGAACGTCCTCCACCCCGACGACCACCAAGCAACCAGAGCCAGCCGTCGAGTAGACCGAGCACGCCCTTAGTCGACTCCGCCGGGCTTGTCCCCGGCGGAAGCCCCCGTCAAACAGAACATTGGGCCCGCGATAGCAAAAGTAACTCTAAAAGCTCGTCTCACCCTCCCCCGGTTAATAGAGCTGAAAAGCCAAAAATCCCTGCTACCAAAAGATCCATCGCGGCTCCTCGTTTAGAAGCATCCAGCTCTCTTGCGCCTAAGTCGCGGCGGGCATCCTTGGACGACAAAATATCGCCCTTCACCACCCCTCCCAATACTCCTGACAAAACACCTCCCGGCTCCATTGCAACGAACGGGCATGCCTCGGCGGCCCTTATTCGCGAGCCTATCTCCGCTATTGAACCCGGACCTCTCAGTGCCCTCCATGATCCCACCCCCCTTAGTAACCCTTGTCGATCCGCAGCTTTGGAGGTCAAATCAACTGGATTTTCGGCTGTGAAAAGCGCAACAGCTGCACTTAACCGCGAAATTAAGCAACCCCCTCCGCCCCCGCCTTTAAAACGAAGCAATACAGGCTTTGCGAGGCCTCGGAATGCACGAGAAACTATAGATACACATGATGCCAGTGATAATCTGGAGGATCGACCAGGTCTGCCACCTCGCTCTCAGCCTCGAATGTCGCCTAAGGGTGTTGTCCCCTCACGGACCGGAGGACGCGAAGTACCGCCGCGATCTAAACCACCTCCCAGGCCCTCCTTTGATATTTCTTCTAAGACAGCCCCCGTTCCTAGCCCCTCCCTACGTATTGGAAGTGGCGAGTCCAGCACCAATTTCCTTCCCCCTCGAAGAGACAGCGCTGCTATCGTTGGACGAATACCCAGCGAACCTGTACAGTCAAATCCCACACAATTTGCGCGGTCGCCTATGCGTTCTGTAGAATCCCTCTCCTCCTCCCCTATATCCAACCAACGGCAGATAGGTAGGTCCGCTCTCGTTGAGTCAGACGAGTCCGAATATACTTTCGACGATGCGCCAATTCCCCACACAGACTACCCCGATTTCTCCAATACAAACCGTCGCCCACCAGTTTTCCGAACCGGGACCAGAGGCATCCATACAAAACATGATAGTCGAGTTTTTGATGTCTGTGGGAACTATGCATGTACGACGGGCTACTTTACACGCGTCTGGGACTTGGTCAGTGGAGAGCAAGTGTTAGGATTGAACCATGGAGAAACAATCAAAGGTTTATCTATCGCGTTTAAACCGGGTAATACAATGCATGACGAAGGGAAACTACTTTGGCTAGGCACGAGCGCAGGGGAAATTCATGAAGTTGATATTCAAACACAGTCGATTGTGTCCTCGCGGACATCGCCGTCCCGGAGAGAAATTATCAAGATCTATCGGCACAAAAAGGAACTTTGGACCCTGGACGATGACGGCAAATTACTTCTCTGGCCCCCGGATGAATCTGGCGCGCCAAATCTACAGTACAGTTACAGCCATCCGTATGATAGGGTCGTGAGAGGACATACGTTCTCTATGGTTGTTGGAGATCAATTATGGCTCGTGTGCGGGAAGGAAATCCATATATATCGCCCCAGTGCCAAGGATGCCAGTTTCCAAGTCCTCAAGGGACCATTGGGCAAGTCGGATGCCGGTGAAATCACATCGGGTACCACCAGCACAAAGGATGACGACCTTGTGTACTTTGGCCATGCTGATGGCAAAGTTAGCATTTATTCCTCCAAGGATTACTCCTGTCGGGCAACTTTGAACGTGAGCTTGTACAAGATCAATTGTTTAGCTATGGTTGGCGATTATTTATGGGCTGGTTATAAAACGGGCATGATCTATGTTTACGACACTTCTACGAAGCCTTGGACGGTCAAGAAGGACTGGCAAGCGCATGACCATGCCGTCTGCGGGTTGATACTGGATTCAAGCAGTGTTTGGACTGTTAATCGGTTGCAAGTTGTGTCACTTGGGGTTGATAATTATATTCGGCTTTGGGATGCAATGCTGGAGGACGACTGGCTTGGTTCGTCTGGTCCTTATTCCCTCTGTTTCCTTGTACTTGAAATTAATCCTTTTTAGAAACACGAATGCATAGCAGGGACATCGAGTACTGTCAGTTCCGTGAAATCAGTGCTGCTGTCGTTACTTGGAACGCTGGTGCTGCGATCCCCGGTAACCTAAGAGATAATAAATTCATTCGAGACGCAATCCATCCCGAAAACCCGCCTGATATTCTTGTTTTTGGATTTCAAGAACTTGTGGACCTTGAAAACAAGAAGATCACTGCCAGTAAGTGACAAATTTGTTCCTACAAATATTTCCTACAAAGGACGTTTTCACAGTTTTTTATACTAACAGAAGAACCCTTTAACAGAAAGTATTCTCATGGGCAGTAAGAAGAAGGATAGCTCTGACAAGGAGCACATGAGTCGACAGTATCGCGTTTGGAAGGATTATCTTGCAACCTGCATTCAAGCCATCATGCCTCTTGATCAGCCCTACGTTCTTCTTCACACTTCAACCCTCATCGGCCTATTCACATGTGTTTTTGTCAGGGAAGCAGAGCGGGAAAGGATCAGAAGTTTAAACGCTGTGGAAGTTAAACGGGGAATGGGTGGGTTGCATGGCAATAAGGTTCGTCTATGCTCGAAGCAATTTACACCTCTTTCTTCTTCCTCGTCATTAGCCAAGGCTTAGAGACCAAAAAAACACAGGGTGCCCTCATCCTCCGTTTCATCCTCGACGACAGCTCCCTCTGTTTTGTCAACTGCCATCTGGCAGCCGGCCAAAACCACACAGCCCACCGCAACAACGACATCGCCGCAATCCTCGAAAGTAGCTCCCTCCCCATGGAAACAAACTACTCGTCCCGAATCGACCTCTTCGTCGGCGGCGGCGACGGCACTTTGATCCTCGACCACGAAATCTGCATCCTAAATGGCGATCTCAATTACCGTATAGACTCCATGCCCCGTAATACTGTCATCGACGCTGTTAAAGCCCACAACCTCCCCAAACTCCTAGATCGTGATCAGCTCCTTGCCTCCCGCCGTAAGAACCCGGGATTCAGGCTCCGCTCCTTCAACGAGGCACCTATTACTTTCGCACCCACATACAAGTACGATGTGGGCACCGACCAGTACGACACCAGCGAGAAAAAGCGGTCACCGGCGTGGTGTGACCGTCTGCTCTACCGCGGTTTTGGTAGGATTAAACAGCTCGAGTACCGCCGGCATGAAGTTAAAGTGTCGGACCATAGGCCTGTCAGTGGACTGTTTAAGATGCGCGTCAAGACTATATTTCCGGATAAACGCACGCATGTGTGGGAGTCGTGTCTGGAGGAGTTTTTGGAGGAGAAGCGGCGGTTGGCCTCGGATGCTAGGTAAGATTTCTATAATAGATACGCCGACCTCCCGCCGGATTTACTGGTTGGCTAACGTTTTATTAAATAGCATCGATTATCTGGTGCGCATTCTTGGTCTGAATCCGCAAGAAGCAAGGTCCTTAATCGCTTCTGGAACGGGGGCTAAATAGTTCCATCCTATGTTCTGCCCACGCACATAAGCGTGGATGTGTACAAACACTGCTCTACCACTCCTCCAACTTCCGCTCGTCCTCCTCTTGCTTTTTACATCACTCAATCACTCACAGCACGCCATCGCACTCAGTCAAGATGCTGTTTCTATATTTGTATAACAGGAGCTTCTTCATGCTTGCTAAGTTTGCTTTCACTTTTCTCTTTCTTTTCCTTTTTTTCTCTTTTTTTTTTTCTTTTTTTTTTTTTTTTTGGTTGTGTGCTGCCCATTCATTTTAAAAAGCCCCCGTCTTTACCTGTCCTGTCATCGGAAATTGGAGAAGGAAATCACATTGCCCCAGGTGGACTCTATCAATTTTACTTTCCTTATACTTATCCTTACCAGTTAACGACGCCAGATGATTTTATGATTTTGATTTGATTTATAAAAGACACGACATGCAGAATGAGATTGCATCCATGCACGCATCGTTTTTCCGCTATCGTTTACCTCGGTTTCTTCTACATTGATTTAATGAGCTTGCGGAATGGATGCCTATTCTTTACACCTAATCTATTTAATAAGGATATTATTAAATTAGACACGAAGCAGCCGTAGTTGCTTTACATGGCGGTTATGGATGGATACTTGATATTGATAGGGTCGAGGGTTTAAGTTTTAATGTATGTTTTTATTTTCCCTTTTACTTTTATTTCTTGGTTATTCTATTTCGATTCTTTTTGTAGTTGAGCATTGTGCTTATAATTAGAGTTAGGCAGATTAGACATTAGATGATTTTGTTTCTGGTGTCGAGTTCGGTGATATGACTTCAATACGTCCACGACAATGATACGAAACTGTCAAACAGGATTGTTTCAACTCGCTACACCAAATATTTATCCACCTAAAACACTGCAAAACTGATGATTTGATCCTTTTTGTTCATTTCCTTCCGGAATTCTGAAGAACCGATGCAAAATATGTCTCAGAATTGATTTTTGTATATGGAATAGCTGGCTGGCGTAAGCCATGTAAGAAAATTTGGGTAAAATTGGGCATTCCACGGTTATGTTCGTGAGACCATAATCTTCCGTTCGCGAAGTGATCGGATGCCTGTTCTAAACAACCAGGCACAAAAACAACGCCTCTAACAAACCAAAATCGTCACATAATCACCCTCAAGATGGCCCTAGCAGTGAAGAACAAATATATCCTTCGTGATGGATACGACTGGGACAATTGGTACAAGGACGAATGCTCCGTGGCAGTTTCACGAGGGTACTGACGGTATATCGATCTTGACGCCGAAGAGATCGAACCGCCCAAAGAACCCGAAATCTATGAGATCGGAGATGATGCTGATCCTCAACTAGTCATTCTTGAACTAGCCCCAGGCTCCGACACACCGGCTGACCTGGTCGAGCGGACTCTTGCATACTGGAAACATCTCTCAAACGGGCTCTCCTGTGCTGCTTGAAGCAGGAGACGACGGGATTTGTGGCGAATAGGCTTGCATATGCGCTTCTACGTGAGGCGGTGCATCTGATGCGTGAAGGGGTTGTTGGGGTGGAGGAGCTGAATTCTATCGTTGAGAACTCTATGGGCCGGAGGTGGACGGTGGCGGGGCCGTTCAAGTCATATCATATGGGTTGGTGGGGAAGGGGGTGTGAGGGCTTTCTTCGACAAGATTGGGGGAACGGTGCAGGCTTGCTGGGAGGATCAAGGTTCTGTTAGGTTTGGGAAGGGTGAGGGTTGGGAAGAGGGGATATTTGGGGGGACTGAGGGGGCGTATGGACCATCTGCTGCATTAAGTGTGCGAGAGAGAGATGAGAAGACGAAAGCAGCGCTGAAGGCCAGAGGTGAAGGGCTGGTACAGAAGAAGTTGGGCTGAGAAAGCAATTTTTCGAGCAGGGCTTGATACATAGTCACTATAACTATATATTTCAGAGAGTATTCATATCACATTCTATGAGGGATTAGAGATAGTTCACAGACCGGGTAATCTCAAAAAAATCCCGAGTGCCCATGTTTCACGCCTTTTTGGCAATTGCATTTCATCTATATTAAGTTATTAGCAAGTGGAATTAAATCCGTAAACATAAGAAACAAACCATACAGCAGTTAAGTTACTCCTCTTCATAATTGATAGATAGCAGCACGTTCAATGATAAATAATGCCGCCCAACTGGCACCGAAAGAAAATAAACTCATCATGTCCTATGGATGATGGATGGTATCACCACTGTCATGATCAGCGTCCACCACCACAGCGGCGACCCCGTCACCGAACGTATATAATCAGTCAAGCAGACAAGAAAAAAAGGATATATTTCAATCCGAAGAGGATATTGGCTAACCCGGGTCTTGCCGCGACTCGAACTCGGGGCCTCTCGCAAACTTTTGCATTACGGTGGATTCTAAGCGAGAATCATACCACTAGACACAGACCCCAAGACCTGATTATGTTGGAATTTGCCATGGCCGAAAGAATGATCGTTGAGACATGGTGAGGTGTGGGCAGAAAGGTAAAAATATAGAAACGGAGCTGCGTTGACGTTGTCGGGTTGAAGTAGAGCGGAGTCCGTAGCAAGGGGGGTGGCTGGGGTGGTTGATGGATGGGAGGGGAATAGGGGCAGGGGAAATTTGTTGAAAAAAGTATCAAAAACGTGTCTCCTTAGAACAGGGTCCTGCCGCGATTCGAACGCGGGGCCTCTCGCAGGCCAATTTAGGTTGGAAACCCAAAGCGAGAATCATACCACTAGACCACAGGACCAGTCGCTGTTGGGGGTGAGTGAGAATTGGTAGGCTTTAGTCGGAGAGATGCTTCCAGCGGTTTGGCTACAATCCACCCCACCAACTTATTATGTCACTTTTCATTCGCGAGTTACGGAGTGCAGTTTGCCCTATATTTTAACCATCTCAATCTACGGCGCATGCTCAAACAGCATAATAGGGCCCTTTTATTGCCGGTTCAGGAGAGCTGCTATAGGCTTCCACCCTTCATAATGATGGTCTGAAACTTATATCCTTCAGGCTGGACATCCTGCCTTTTTGCATACCGGCGCCATTTTTCTACAATTGTTATTTCCATCCCTGGTTGGATTCTGGCCCCATGCTGAGGTTCTTCCTCTAGGTGGATATTTAAAGAAAGCGGAGAAAGCGGAGCTTCGCGTGTGTACCCTTCATCTGCACAGTCCCAGACCTTTGGGACCCTGCAATTCCGAAGGACACACGACGTGCAACGGCACCGTAGAAATGTTGGTAAAGACGACACCTTTATGCAAAATGGCTTTACTACCAACAGGATCTGAGATGATGCTGCTTTGATGTAAATACATACATCACACGCATGGAGGGAGCCGAGGTGGTAGATTGTTGTGCATCTGCACTACGGGAGGGATTGCTCAAGGCATTTTATATGCGATGGTTTGATTATATCGGGTTATTATTACGGATTGCAAGGTAAAGCATGAGTTCCCAAAGCACCATTCACAGTTTTATTAGTAGCTAGCTGTTGACTCGATGTTCCAACATCCCCTATCTCAACATCTGTCTGTTTCTGTTCACGTAGACTAACATGTGAGGAACCGAGAGGCCGCACGCATGACCCAAACAGATGGAAATACCAAAATTGCCTCATTTTTCGGCATTAAGCAATCTTGATATATAGATCAGATCGTGTGCACCACTTTATCTTATTTCATGACGATGGTTTGGGATTATGGTGTCTGAATAACTGAAGACTATTTTGTAAGTATAATGCGGAAGACACACGCTTAGCGTATGAAGTCCGAGGGTCGCTTAGCCTTTCATCTGAACAGGGTCTTGTGGTCTAGTGGTATGATTCTCGCTTAGGGTTCACCCTAATGCAAAAGTTTGCGAGAGGCCCCGCGTTCGAGTCGCGGCAAGACCCCGAAATTTCTTTTCCTTTCTTCTTTTGAAAGGATACCTTTTTTTCTCTTCTTTAGATATTTTTTGGATTTTAATTTGGATTGCATTAATACCACTTCAACTTTTTGGTATGTTCGCAACCCTCAACAGTGGGACCACCGTCTGGAGGTTACTTACCTATGCGACTATGACTGCGACCCTCAAATTTGGAGGATCCATCATTAGGACGGTCACGCTACGGCAAAATGAAAATATGACTGACATTTCTTGAATTTTGGTGTCCGGCTGGCTGTGTGAATCGTAGTGACGGAGTCTAGCGTTTGTCCGAGATGGATAAGGTCCCTGAATACTACCGATGTGAACTATAGGGACTATAAAAACGTGGGGAAACCCTTACATCACCTTCAACTCTGGAAATACAGCGCCCCCTGTCTCATTGCTGGTCAGCGGGTATTCCCTGCTGTCTGATGCCGTGAAACGTGATCATGGCCCGCCATTGATCTGGACGTTAGCAAAATAAACTGTATCGATATTCTGGGGTTCTCCGACATTCTATCAATCAACACTGGTTGTGCAGGTGATGAGGCCCCAAACTGAAAATAAAGAATGTCGAAAACGTATGGAATCGAATGACGGAAGGGAGGTGGTGACGTGAGATCTGAGAAGTTGATAGACATTACGGAGAACATTTCCCTCCTTTGCAAAGAGGGCCCTTGAATGTCCATATCTGGGCTTACCTTCAAATTGACTACAAATGGATCCCACGAGCTCTGAGGCCAGTGAGCTGGATTTTCGCTCATTAGCACTCAGCCCGCAGTGCCCTTAAGGTCGTGAGATGGAGTGAGCAGACACTCACTTCATGGAGAATCGGTATTCTGGTGGTTGCTTCTCCCATACATAGGGCCAACGAATGCTGAGTTGACCTTTTAAAATTTTGTTCCCAAATAATATCTTTATAGTTTGCTTCTGTTTCTTCTCCTTCAATATTGCGGTCGTTGAGGGTTGAGGGTTTCAAATCAATGAGAGGTCGAATTGTCAGGAATCCACTGGAGCAGAACATCCGTAATACTGAGACGGTAGCAAAAGAGAACAAGAAACTGAAAGAGGGAGCAGTTTAAATAGTAAGTGGCAATTGGGCTCTTCCGAGCTGCTGGATGACAGCTGCTTCTCGCTTCTCAAACACCATTTGATTTTTGCTCCACAGTCGTCGACTCGGGATATAATTTACAGTTCAAATACTTGCTAATATCGCTCCCATCAAATTCCTCCGTCGTGAAACCATTACCTAGATATGCCCAGCGGTTCTGACTCCAATATTCGATTTCATAATCCTCATACTTGGGTTCTTTCATCAGGTCAAAAAATGCCAGTCTACTCCCTGGCCACATCACGATGGTACCGTCTTTTCTACCTTGTTTGAACCAGCTGGAGCACGGATCTGCCCAGCACGTGCGACAAAGGTATACTGATGCATGTTCAAGGAAATCTTTAATTGCACTCTCTTTCGGGCTGAGGCGTCGGATATGCTCTTTGCGCATTTTTCGGATTATTTGAATGAAATAATTGGTGAAAAGCGTTGCCAGTGGTAATATGGACCCCTGGGCAACCGGACTGTACGGGCCACTGTACATGAAATAGTTTGGCACGCCAGAAACACCAACCGAGAGATAGGTCTCCGGAGACTTTTCCCACCGAGTGGCGATGTCGACCTTATCCAGACCAATGATGGGGAATCGAGGTCGAAATGACGTGTCAAAACCTGTTGCACAAATGATAACATCAACCTCAACTTCAGTGCCGTCCGCTGTCAAGAACCCTTTTGGTGTGATTCCTCCAATTTGCTCGGTGTAGCATGATGTTTTCTCGCCGACAAGCGCCTCAAGATAGCCGTCTCCTGGAGTGGGGCGTCGGCATCCCACATTAAAATCCTTGGGTATGATTTTTCCTTTAAGGTGTTGGTTGTTTCCCAGTTTCTTTGACATATCATTATAAGCGTACTATATGTAGCGCTTTTAGTTGGGATATTGCGTGAGAGAGGTAATTCTCAGTGGACTTACTTCATTGGCATCCTCTGATTCTTTGCTGTTTCTTAAAGCGAATCGAAATCTCATCGTCAGCTCATCCTCAATCATTTTTCGATATTTTCTGTATTTTTCCGGGTCTCTCCTCCATTCCTCCTTCTGCTCCTCGGTGTCTAGGGGCATCGTGTCAGTCTTGATACATCTTTGCCAGTCGGAAACATATGACGTCGACAGACATTCAAAATTACCCCCGTCTGGTCCAGCGAACTTTTGCGCAAACCCGGCTGTGATCCAGGTCGGGCTTCTCACCCACGTATAAACCCTGGACGCATCTTTGTAGATTGCCGCAACAGTCTGAACCCCTGAGCTACCGGATCCGATGACGGCCACTCTTTTCCCAGTCAGGTCAAACCCTTCTTCGTACTTTGCCGTATGGAAAAGCCGGCCCTTGAAGGACATCAATCCAGGAATCTCGGGCCATTTCCAAGCACTGTACGCCCGGTTAGCGAATCATCATATACTCACAAGATATTATGCATGGCGGCATACTTGAGAATTCCGGTTCCATTCAGCAGAATGTCACACTCGTCATCCCACTCTCTAACCACCTTGTCCTCCGCATTGCTTTCTTCCACATGCACCACCCACTTCGACTTATCCTCATGCCACTCCGCACGAGTGACTTTAGACCTCAAATGGATATACTTCATCATTCCCTCCTCATCCACAATATCACTCATATACTGCCAAATCTCCCTAGCCGGGCTATAATACTTCGTCCAATTTGGATTTGGCCGCCAACCGAACTGGTAGCTGGCGCTCGGTACGTCGCACGCACACCCGGGATATCGATTCTCTAACCACGTACCTCCTACATCATGATTCTTCTCGTAACTGACAAATTCGATACCCTCTGTTTCTTTGAACTCACGCGTGGCGTGGTGGAGGAAGTCAATACCCGCGGCTCCGGCCCCAATAATAATTATCCGGAACTTTTTCCCCGGAGGAGGCTCGTTGATCATGTGGTCTGTGATTCGATATCCGCTACTTGATGTGATGTCCCAATCTTCATTGAAGATGGGCCTGTTGGTGGATGTCGGATGGTCAATGTTGGGGTTGTTGCTCCCCAGGGCGAGGCGTTTGGAGTGGCTGGATTTTGCGACATCGGCTGCTGTCCCGTTACCGGCCATCTTTCTTTGTATTCGAAAGCATATAGAGAACAACGGTTGGGGCCCTTAGTGAGACTCTTCGTCTATGGATCCACGTCTCCGGCTGGATGACTGCCTTGGTTATATATAGAGCTGCATGCCCTGTTAAATGGGATTTCTCACGGCGTTATTCTAATTTTCCTTTCGCGTGAAGAGTGTCGGCCGACACGAAAGGGATGCCTAGGTTACTAAAATCGACCAAGGAACAGCCATTTACATCGATTACGTCAATGGGACCTAGAGGAAGGCATCTATCATTCCGATACACTAATAAACGATGAAACTTCTAGGAATGCGGGGGAGCTGGGAACTGAATACGAACCCCGGCACCGCGGCGTCTATTTCGGCTTGCATTGGCAGCTTGGCTGGAGAGGTCGAAAATTACACTGTACATGTTAAAATATCGTTTTATATTCAAGATTTTTCTCAAATGGAATGCTGAACTACAAGTAACTACTTATGTAAGTACTCTCTCACAGTGCATATGGGAGCCCTATTCTTGTCGTCCTCTTGAAATAACTTGAGATGACGTCGGAAATATTCAACTGTCAGACGGTTTGGGTTCACAGATCTTATAGTGGAAGCGAATTAACCACTAATTGCCAGTTAATCTAGGGAAAATGAATAATAATTGGCTTGATTTCCTCAACTACAACCTACGGTCGGATCTGATCATGTTTATAGGCTTAAATCCTAATTAATCAGATCGAATTCGGATGGGCGAATTTGAAGTCGATTGAGCCAATTCAAATGGGCAATTTAACTGTAAACAACAACAACAAAAAAAAAAAAAAAAAAAAAAAAACACCGAATTTGGCACCAACTTAATGATCCAACCACCCGCCGTCGACTTTGTAACACGACCCTGTAACAAAAGATGCTTCATCGCTTGCTAAGAAAAGAAAAACTTTCGCTATTTCATCTGGCCGTCCAACTCGCCCTGATTTATAGTCATATAGTATTAGCGGATGGTATCATGACAAAAGGGGTTAAGGTTGTGATGTTCGATAAACTTCACGCGTAGAAACAATGGGATCTTAGATAGTGATCGAGTACTCACCTATGGGTGATCGTGCAGCGATTTCGCGGGCGTTAGGGAAGAGATCTAGTATTGCAGTTTCCACAACACCGGGGCACACACCGTTCACCCGGATGCCATGTTGCATCAACTCTTTGGCAGCGGTGATTGCCAAAGTGCGAACTGCGAATTTGGTCATGGAGTAACAGGCAATGTTAGGCCGCGAGCGCAGTCCAGCTGTCGAACATGTCAAGACTATTGCGCCGGGCCTCTTCATGGCGATCATTTTTTTTGCGGATTCCTTCAGGCCGATGAATGCTGGTATAACGAAACGTATTAAAAGAGTTTGCTTTATCTAATAGTTTAGTTTACAAATTAAAGTATCAAAAACTCACCACCCCGAGCATTTATATGCATGAGTTTATCGAAGTCTTCGAGGCTTTGCTCAACAATAGGGGTTTCTCTCCCTCCTATTCCAGCATTCAATATTGATATATCCATTGCTCCAAATACTTTCCAACATTTCTCTATCGATTGAATGACGGACTCCTCGTCCGCGGCATCAGCCTGGTGGAGTACATATCGGCTTTCATCAACGCCTTTTTGTTTCAAGAAAACACGGGCTTTGTCAAGGTTCGGTTGACTAAAGTCGACGATAAGAACCATTGCACCCTGCTCAAGAAAACTTGTGGCGATGGCAAGCCCAATCCCAGCAGCTCCACCAGTGATGAGAGCCGTTTTGTTCTGTAAACGCCCTGTTGCCATATTTTGTGATCTTCCGGCGTTTGGTAACAACTCTCCGAGCTGTGTATGGAGAGTAAGAAGAGTATTCTGATTAAGATCCGGCGACGCCCACAATCACAGCATCAAGGGATATTCAAGGCAAGTTGTGTCATCTTCGCCAATTCTTGCATTGCCAGGAGACTAAGCGTGGGGTGGAGGCAACAGAGTTGCACAGATCACGATCAAATGCGGGGACCCACGGCTCTGAAGTGTTGACATTCGGTTAACCCACCATGAGAGTGAAGGTTGGCAGTGAGAAGGAAATGCCGAGTTTGTCTGCCATCGGGCACACCATTCCTTGTCCAACCCGATCTTTTCGGTTAGCAATGCACCGGCTCTCGGGGATCGGCGCCTGGGTCTGCTTCGAACGTAATAAAAGGTAAAGACACTTGAACTGTGACAGCAATTAGGCCGATGGCTGTCTGGGGGTTAGTTAACTAGACCTTGACAAACCCCCAGCCCGAGCCCGATCATTCTTTTGCTCAAAGTCGGCTCAACTCTATACCTCATCGAATAATTATACCTATGGCACGTACAAAACAACTCAATAGTTAGTTAATCGATGTAAAGCTAACTATAAACATAAATTGTATCAACCCAGGCAGGCTCACAGTTAGGATTGAGATCTAGTCATTGCGATATCCTGGAGAAAAGATTGAATTATCTTTCATTTCTTTGAGCACAGATATATATTCACATTAATCTGCTTCAGCTCACTGATCATGTTCCATAATCAGAAATTCAAGTTATGCAGCATGCTGAGGAGGCTTAATCCATCAGCATTAAAACAATATTGCATTGATTAATAGAGGGGATGAGTGTGTCTTGGTTCTTGCCGGCTCGACAGTGTCCTTCTGGTGCACTGGAACGAAAGCGGAGGGATAGCTAGCTAATTATTAATGGAAACCAACCGTAGCTAGTTAACTAAGGTTAAATTTCATCATGCCGGAGCTCGTCAGAGATGTCATGAGACAACCTTGGGAGTCGACATCCGGTTGCTTGGGCTTGGCAGCCTTGAACTCTCATAGTCGATAGTTAACTACTAGAGACCGCGGAATTTTGCATAGACTCCGATACATACAGTGAGAATAGCGTTGAAAACCTCTTGGTTGATTCTATCCTCGGCGGATTTCATTCGGCGTTTTGTAACTGTGGAATATCCAATTTTACGCTATTTTCTTCTATGGCTTCTGCCGGCTAGTTTATTCCGCATCAGATTCTTCCGGAAAAATCAGATAGTCGGATTGTGTGGCGTTTTAACTATTACGTTAGGTGGATACTTAGCGGAGCGACCTGACACTCCGATTGCGAGCTCTGGAAGTTGCCGACAGCCAGTGATTTATTCCGGTGACTAAACGACTGACCCCTGGGCACTGTAGCGAAACCAGCTAAGCGACAGAGTTGAATTAATGAAAAGGAATGTGAATAATAAGAGGAAGCGTAAGAGATGTTCTCAATTCATGTTATAACATCGATCGAATCAACACACACATATATATATATATTCGCGAATCACATAGAAAGCAATAGCACGAGACGTGGACGGATCTCTTTGCCAACGGGCGCGAGGGGCAAAATTTACCAAGACTCAAAGATTTGGCTTGACCCAGTTAGGTTGTCTCTTCTCCCGGAATGCAGCAAGACCTGCGTTTTGAAGTAACGTCAACTTTGTGCTCGTTCAATGGTTGTGGTGTGGAATGAATGAACGAAAAGTAGGCGGAGGAAAATTCAGATTGGATATAAGAAAAGGTCTCTCGGAACAGTGATGTCAACAAGAACGTACCTTCACGTAGGTTTTGACCCTCATACAAATTCTTCGAATATCTCACGTGGGTGTTGAGAACCGCCTTTGACACATCTCCAACCTCCCACGCCTCTCTCAAACCGGCCCGAGTTACAATAATCGCATCGGGACTAAGACTAGAAATATCCTTCGCTAGCGACAATGCCTCATCCATGAGCGATTCATGAGTTTCGGAAATGCGGTTGATAAGTTGCCATGCTTTCGCTTCCTGGGCGGATATAGATCTGCCCGTCAGTGCGATTTCGGAGGCAATTTGTAGTCCGGCGATGCGAACGACGCGAGGTAAGCCACCTGCGGCTGCATACACACCGCGGTTTGCCTCTGGGAGAGCAAACTTGGCGCGAGGCGAGGCAACAACAATGTCACTATGTATAACACAAAAATTGAATCAGAAAGCCATCATCTTAGCATGAAGTTAGCATTTAAGAGTGGGCCTCACCAATTCAAGCATATTTCGAAGCCGCCTCCGAATGCGAAACCATTGACAGCAGCGATTATGGGCTTCTTACCCTTCCGCTGGCTGATACCAGCAAACCCGGACGGTGGATGTCCCTTTAGGTATTCCTGCGCTGGCGGGTTTTTGCTGTTTCTTTCGAGCTCAAGAAGGTCCTGGCCAGCGCAGAAGGCTTTGTCGCCAACCCCGGTCACGATTCCAACTTGTAATGTGGGCTCATCGTCGAACCACTGCCAGATCGTGTGCAAATCCCAGTGTCCCTGGAAAGGAATAGAATTCATGTACCTAGCACGGTTAATGGTAACAAGAAGCACCCTGGGCGCGGGATAAGACAGGAGGTATACTGGAGACTGTGGGGGAGGGGTTGTGAAGGAAGCCATTTTTGAAGATTTGCCGCTCTCGTAGAAAAGATGTAAAGATCCAATCTGAAGAAGAAATATGTCTTCTAGAGCGAGTCATTGTCTGCTCTGAGATCTCTATGCTTACAGTTAATATCGTGGGTAGTATGAACCTCGGTTGCTCGGTATTAGCAACGTCTAGCTCAACGGTTGAAGTGGCGGTCTTGAAGATCTAGGGAGATAGTTAATGATTTAGAATATTTCAAGCGGGGCATGACTATAAGGGTATCAAAAGTCGTATAACAACTCGCCAGATCCAAGATACAAGAAATATGTAATTATGCCAATCCCAAGTCCCTGGTTAATCACTTTTCATTATCCAATGCGAACTGCAGCCATGAAGCGATACAGCGGTGCATGTCTCTGGAGAGATCTTGCTTCTCAAATCTGACACCAAATGAGGCATGTATAAAAAAGAGACTACTCCCTCTCAAGGAGAAAGTAGCCTAGCCAAGTATAAAAATCACAAGATCAATCAGCTGGGCGATGAATTGAGAGATGCTCTTCCTAGGTCGGTTTCTGGGCTTTAATTGTCTTAACCGGGCTCGCTGAGTGGCCGAAGGCGAAGTTAAGCTTAACTGGATCCTAGGAGTTGGATATTGATCAGGAGATATCAGCCTGAAAATATAGTTATCCCGTTGGTTGATTCCCTGATTCCCAGAATTTTAGATAAATATTGATCTGAGAATCCAGCTCATCTTGTATTTTGCTCTCTTCGATGTTGGATTTAAGCGTCCTCAAGTTGCAGTTTCTTTGCAAGTTTATTTAGCTTCGAGGGACGGTTTCATCACGAAATAAATGCGAGAAAGAGGAGTCAATTGATCAATTGACCGGCGGTGATTCTCGATAAATGATCCCGTTAGGCCTCGGTGTATATAAAGCAAATGTGTTCTGTATATTCACATCATCGAACGAATGGAGAAAATCCGAAGCAGGCCGGGGTGAACGATTCCAGTGATCCGATTAATGAATAATTGCTATGCAAATGTATATACATTATTATCATAACAGATGATGTTTTGAAGTGGTTGATAATCAAAACCCTTGCGTAGAGAATTTAAATATCTGTGGATTCTGCAATTCAAAGGTATGACGTCAGGCAGTTAGTTAACTAACTAATCATCCCGCGAGTTAATTCCAGTCGAGTATCCCGCTTTTCCATCTGCGCACCAGTTTTCAACGCAAGCCAACCACCTTTATTAAAACCAACACAATCGCAAAGAGCCAACCATATACCTGAGCATCGATGAGCCAATCGCTAAGCTAGTAAATCTATGTCAACCCCCCAACCGCCCAGACATCCAAATCTCACCTCTTCTTCTCCATCTCTACTACTCCTCCTCTTCCTCTCATTCTTCATCCTCGCCTTCTTCCCAACCCTTTTCGTCACCCTATTGAAACCGCTCTTCTACGTACCACCCCTCAACCTGCTCTCCCCGTTCTTACCCACACCCACGACCACTCCAGCAAACACACCCCGAAATTCCAATTCTGCAAAAATGGCCTGGTTCCAAACCACAATAACCCTCCCCCCACGCTCACGTGGCTCCTACCTAGTAACCGATCATGTTGTTGCTGAACTGCCCGAGTTGCGCCGGTATAAGAAAGGGCTGCTTAATCTCTTCATCCAACATACCAGCTGCGCCCTCAGTCTGAACGAGAACTGGGATGCGGATGTGCGAGTGGACATGAGTGACGCACTGGATCGCCTTGTGCCTGAGGACCGGAAGGGGGAGTTGTATAGGCATAGTGCGGAGGGGCCAGATGATATGCCGGTTGGTTTGGTTCCATAGGTCTATTCCTGGCCTTTTGAGATATGGATATTCTATATATACAGCATAGTTGTTAATTGAGGACAGGGCATGCAGCTAACCCATAGCTAACGCTCTTCAATTTTATGCAGGCGCATATCAAATCCGCCCTCATCGGCGCATCTATCACCATCCCAATCTCTGATGGAAAACTGGCTACGGGTACCTGGCAGGGTATCTGGTATCTGGAATTCCGCGCCAGCAGGCACTCGCGCAAAGTCGTGGCAACTATTCAAGGAGAGACGAACTAGTCTGCTTTCCTTTTGGTTGGCTGTTTTCGTTTGGTGCTTTGTTAGGCTCTTCAATTAGGTAGGTAGTTGGCTGGGGTTTTCATTAGCGATAAGGTCGCAGTTAAAATGGGGTTTCACATAGATAAACGGATACAAAAGTGTTATTATATGCTCTTCTGAGGAAGAGGACTGGGGATGTAATGTTTGGGAGGCCTGAGATCCTTTCACTTTTGGACATCATAATAAGCTAAAGTATATACATAGACAAATGAGAAGTTATCCAGCCATCCAATAAACAGATTTTGATTCAGATGCGCTGGTTTTAGGAGATTTTCTCTCTGCTTTTGGTACCAGCAGAGCCCGGTAACAAAGGGGAAGGCAGAAATAACATAGAATACATGGTGGGGACTAACAGAATCGAACATAGAAATAGAAATAGAATAGGTTGTCAAGTAGTTCCGGAAAAACTTGTGTTTGTCTATTCCAGCGATGCGGATGTTTAGAGAACGAAGCTACACTCAGGGACACGGTTTGGCTGAAATATGAATGTAATAAAAAAAGATTATATTATATTTTGGCTTGGTTGGATCTCATCTATCGTTGCTCTGACGAAGCTTTGTTTACTCCCGCCGGATCCCCCAATGATTCCAATGGATACGACGTTTGTGGTAGCGCTTCGAGAGCTTTCCGGTTGTGTTCATTTGCCTGTTAAATTAGGTCAGGTACAAGCATTCGTTAGGTAGTGTTAAGGAAAGGAATGAGGCACCTGCCACGTACAAATGGAAGTCCGCAGTATTCACACATGCAAATTTGTGGCTTGTCTGTGTTGATGAAGATTCGGGGGTGGCCGAGGGGCCCTCCACCACCGTCGCACGAGACTACCTTCTCCTTGGTCCATCGGACGGGCTGCTTGTGAATCAATTCGATGGCTGCGTATGGCCGGGGCTGTTGTGGCGATGTTAGCATAAATTTGTATAAACTTGGGATACATTTCAGCTGCCAATGGAAAAAGATAAAAACAGAAAATAAAGAGGCTGCCAATTGGCATGCCCGACAAGTTTGCTGTATATATAAATCGATCCATCATGTCAAGAAACAGGATCACCATTTTCATCCCATGCCAAAAAAAAAAGTCAGGTGGCAGCACAAGCAGATTCCCAAAAACACAAATAAAAGCCCAACGAACCTGATACTCCATCACAGTCTGCTCAAACCGCGGGCCAGTCATTGCCTTCTCCCGCGGCTGCTGGCTCTTCGCCCAGATAGTGGTCCGGTTGGGCGCTTGTTTGGCTAGGTTGCGCCGTGCCTCCTCAGTCGATTCTTGCAGAGCGGCATCCTGCGCGCCCATCGAGTCTACTGGAACCGCATTGGTCTCTGAGATGGAGGCGATCTTTTGGCGCAGGTTGGGGTTGTTGGTTGGGATGGCGTGCTCTGCGGGCTCGGAGAGATTGGACGCAGAGGTTGTGAAACCGCGGGGGAGCAGGCGGGAAGGGTACGATCCGGTGGCGACGAGGCAGAGACGGGAGCGTGTGGAGGAGAGCATTGTGGGAGGACCTGGCTCCTAACCGTAGGTGCTGCAGAAGTTGTAGTTAATGCAGATGAGATAGACGTAGATGCGGTCGAAGTTGGTAGATGTTGAGGGTTTGAGGGTCCAATGGCTCTGGCCAATCGGCCGCCTTTAACTATTAACTAACTACAGTTAACTAACAACGGCCATTAGTTATATAACTTTACAACTTCAATCCACCCCCGAAAAAGTTGACCTGATACGCAACTACAGCTTCATTTGATGGGGTTTGTAGGAAAAATATAGATAGCTACATAAACTCTGGACTACAACTTACAGAAAATAATAGCATAATTACAAAAACACCAAGCATATTGATATATCCATCTTTAACACTCTCTGTCTCCCATTGTTCAATATTCAATTATCCACCACCATGCCGACCCCCAAATCCCCAAAAACAATGTCATCGCGGCTGCTGACCATGAAGGTATGGCATTCTTCAAGTTCTCCGTCAAATTATATTGCGCTGACACTGGTAGTTCATGCAACGTGCGGCGGCGGCGGCGGCGGCGGCGGCCTCCTCCACCCAGGACTCAAGCAGGCCCGCAACCCCCGCCCATTCGCAAGCCTACCACGATGCCGTAAATAACTCTTCGCCATCCCCTAAACGTCAGAAGCTCTCTTCTCCCCTAACACCCACATCGTCCTCCATTCTCGCCAATGCCAACTCAGATCTCGAAGCCATATCCGCTGCTATAAGAGCTGAGGAAGAGAAACGGGCAGCTGCCATCGCAAGACAGGCAGCTGAGGCTGGTGAGGAGGAGTGGGTTATCGAGTATCCGCCGGGGACGTTTCCGGTGCCATCTCCCCCGGTCGTGGATGGGAATTTCTATGGGTTTGGGGATGAGTGGAATGAGGGGGTTATGGGGAGACAATGTTTTGGGGGATTTAAGAGGGAAGGGAGGGGTGAAGTGGTTAGTTTTCTTCCTTTCCTTTCATTTCATTTCTTTACATTCCTTTCTCTCTTGTATCTGATTTGTGGTACGCAGGCAACAATGACCACTAGCTCGTATAACATTGACGAAGATGGGAATGAAGAAAGCGAAGGCGAGGTTCGTGAAGGAGATGATGAAGAAGAAGACCATGATATTGATGAAGGCGACGAAGATGGCCTTGGGGCCATTGTGAACAAGGCAAAATTAAAAGCTGAGAAGCGCAAGGAGAAGAACAAGAAAAGAAAATCTGGTGATGGTAGTGTCAATCTCAGCCGATTAACGAGTATATCAGGTGGCATTGATAAGGGAGAGCAACAGCGGCAGCATCAGCGATACCATCATAACCAACGAGGTGGCAGTGGGAGGAGGGGGAAGAGATGAGGTGATGTAGATCATTGGAGTTAATCGATTGAGGATTTATTTCTACTTTTATTATTTGCATCATGTTGTTTGCATTCAGGATGTGCTATGGATTATGCTAAGGGATTCTTTGGCTCTAAGGGCGTTGGGTACGAGGTAAATATGGGATCATTCCGCTATGCATTAGATGATATGATACCGCTAAACGTAAAAGAATATAAATATTTACAGACAGCAAGAGTCTCTATATAATATTTCTCATATAACAACCAGTCATCTTAAAACCAAAATACCTTCAAAAATACTTGAAGCAGCAAATACTTCAAGCAATATTCCATTAACGCAACAACATGAATACACACGTATGCCATGCCCCTGATATATAAATTTACAGCTTCGCCCTGCCCTTCGCCAACTGTTCGTTCCACTTCTTCTTCCCTCGATAATTCACAGCTAAATTCCACGCCGCAACCGTCACCCCCAATGGTGGCACAAGCAACATCCACGCCCACCACTGAGGACTTGATGCAGCCACCATTTCCATGACCTTACGAACCTTTACCTCTAACTGCGCCCTATCCGCATCATTCCACACAACCAGACCCCGCGCACCCTCCACACCCCTTGCCTCCGCTCGCGCCACTTTCGCCTTCACATCCCCCTGACTCTTCACCCGATTCTCCGCATCCTCCTGGCTAAGATGCGGGTCCCGGGCCCGCAACCGTGCAATCTGCACCGCGGGATCGGAAACGCCAACCACAATCACCGTACCGCACAGGACGTCGAGCCCGCTTTCGAACAGCAACGGCACATCCAGCACCACCGCCCAATGTCCGCGGAGATAATAGTAGAGGAGTTGACGGTACATCTCCCAGCGCACAGCTGGGTGGACGATGCCATTTAACACGGCGCGGTCACGTTTGCGTTCCTCCGAGTCCCCAAAAACGCGACGGCCCAGGACAGGGCGGTCTAAGGGGCGGCCTTTGCCCTTCTTATTCTTGTTCTTGTCGTCTGGGTCGCTGGGGTCATCTGGAAGGAGAAGGCCCGGAGTTGTGGGGCCGAAGTACTCGACTATGGCGCGGTAGCCTGCAGTCCCGGGTTCGACGACTTTGCGGGCAATGACATCCGCGTCGATTATGGGGATGTTGTAGGGTGGGGAGGAGAGAAGTGTGGAGACGGTGGATTTGCCCGTGGCGATGGAGCCGGTTAGGCCAATTAGAAGCATACTTGCTGCCCTTCTAGGGAAGATTTGGGCAGGGTTAGGTATGCAGAGGCGGAAAGAGTGTATTGGCGGAATTTATTATGAGATATTCTTGTGTATTTGAGCTTTTCGTCATATATCCTAGTCCGATCAATAGTGAAATGCCTCAGCAACAGGATTGGACAGAGTTGGGTTTTAAAGGCACCCCAGCAGCGTGGTTCGGGGTTCGGGAGGACATGTACTTATAGGCCTATAAACTTTTTCTGCCGAAAATAAAGTCGTGTTGGCTGTTTTGAGTGGGAAAATTATCGATTTGGTCTGTTTTATCCTTTTTGAGAGGGTAGTGGAAAGCAAAAAAACCAAAAGCAATCGACTCTCGGATGTATGTATGTATGCCGTCTAACTCGTTCAGGGCGCAGATGCCGTGTCCATATAACTTATATTTCTGTTAGCTATAGATACAAATATATATAGCATGATGCGTTATTTGCCCAACGGTGAACGGGGAACTCTAGGGGAATCCAGTCAAGGGGATGGAATCACGCATACAATGGTTTCTGGGATCTTCCCGCGTTGAGACAGCAACCAATGCCGAAGGATAAAAAGATCACAGCAGAGGTATAGCACAGGCCCAATCCGGAGCCGTGATCCTTCCTCTCCTTGTGCTGGGCGTGAGGGGAGAGGAGAATGTCTACGGGTATAGCAGAGGAAAACAGCGCATGCGGGAGAGAAGCTGTTGGAGTAGTTATTTAAATTAGACGAGGTGATGAATGTAAATAAGATGGACCGCGGATAACTAACGGAATCCAACCAGTTAACCGGTCACCCCACTGAGTTGGTCAGCAAATTTAAAATATATAATCATATATATATATATATATATATATATATATATGTATCTTCAATTGCCTTATTAGCCTCTTTCAAGGCGTGAAAATGCCATCAATTCAACAGAAAAGAGCAAGTACTCTCAATTCATAAAGCTGCACATTTTATATGAAGTTTCATAAATAAACTCTGCTTGATTGACTCGATGATTAATATGCAAGTAACTAAAGCTTTTATATGAGGGGGGAATTGGCTGGTTCGCAACGTGGTTATTGTGGCAGTTCAATGGAGCCCAGGTGTAAGCCCTTCTTTCACTTCTCTCAGTCAATGAAATTCAGTGCTCATCTTGCACTCAAGCCCCGCCTCTAACCCCCTGTATGAAGGCCTTTGAAAAACACATTAAGTAGAAGATCATCTCATATGGGGCCCTTCCTGTAACTCTCTTGTCCTCAATCTCATTCTTTCTTTTGCTCTTCTACTTCTCAGCTCTACTGCTTTATACACATCTGCTCTGACTTTGCATGCACTTAGAAGCTCTATTTGCTTTCTACACTTTTCTTGCCAACTATATAAAGCTGTCCCGAAGATGAATCTATCAATTTTTTAATCAAATACCCTTATAAAAAGGAATTGAAAATATGAGCTACTGAATTTAAATAATTAATTATATAAAAGTATCAAATAGAGTATGTTAAAAATTCAAGAAAGTAAATTTAAATATATATAATAGTTATAGAAATCAAAATATAAAAAGTTCATAATAAGTTGAAAAGTTAAAAACTAATATAATATTTGAAATATTAAGTTAGTTTTTTTACTTATATAATGTAATCCACTAATGTAATCGATAAGCAAGTTGGCCACATAAGTGAGTTGGCCACTTTACTCCCCACTGTACAACAAGAATGCCTTCAAAGTCTCAACTATAAAGAAAAACTAGCAAATTACATTATAAATTATTTCCTATACATTTAGAGCATGTACAGGCAGTATGCTCAATAATCCCACATACACTACATTGTGGTGCTGCACATTTTTATGGTCATGACTCAGCAGTCTCAACTACCTTCTGCTCTCATTCATTGATCCTTCATATGTGATTCAAGCCTTCTTCAACCTTCAAAGCACTCTCTTGAGCTACATACATATGGCCTCTTTCTTACTTCTTCTTTTGTTTGGCATTTGCAGCTCTTAACTCCCTGTTTTCAGCTGCTAGAATAGCAGCACTACACATTGTCATTTGATATTCTTTGACCAGCTGACTTAGGGTATGATTGATTGGACTGAGTGGTCTCTGCATATGATGCTTAATATATTCTTTAACTTCCTCAGCCTGCTGCTTCAATTGGTGTATATTATATGGTGTGGCCATGGCCCAGGAGGCCTGGAAGCTGTGAGAGGTCCTTAAAGAGATGGAGATATGTATTATAATATTAAACTGTGAGAGAATCTATTCAGAATCATACAGAATCAGCTCAGCAGCCTTAAAGCTGCTCTTAATGTTGCTCTCAGTCAGGACCTGCATTTGAGCTGCAGGATAAAGATTCAAAAACTTATTTTTATTAATATGATTGATCTCAAACTGTATTTAGTTTTTTACCTGCTGTTTATATATAGTTTTCAGGGATGAGAAGCAGTTAATATCCAATGACTGAAGAAAATAGGAGGAATGTGATAGTATATAGAGAGCAATAATCTGATTTTCAGTGCAAAATTGATCAAATCCAGCTGAGGCATGATTTCAATATTAATCTAGAATTAACAGTTGATATCTGCTCTTCATACAGGGTAGAGTCTTATTGTTGAACATCTATTTCAGTTAGTATAAGCTCAGCTGATCAGTGGTTCAGCTATTCTCACTGACTTCAATCACCCAGTCATATAGTAGCTCTTCTGTCTCATACTAGCAAAATTGATGCATCTTTTCTTTGAGAATAATCATTGTATATAAGATTCAGCCAGTTGTATTGACTTCAGCAATAACAATTATCTATTTCTGATCTTCAGACTGTATAAGCTTGAGATTTTCAGCTCTTTCAGATTCAGTCATCATCTTGATAGTCTCAATTACACTCATCTGAAACTCAGTGTCATCAAAATTGTAGATATCATCTTTTAAAATCTCATACTTCATAATAGTATTTTATACAAGTCTAAATCACTCACAGATAATCTTAGAATCTTCACATAAGATCTGCTAATGATAATACTTATGTGAGAACTTGGATTTCAGCTCATTATGACACTTGACAAAGTTTTATATTCAGTATTCACTTACTGTGAGTGAGGAATTGAATCTTCAGCTGATAAGAAGAAGGTTGATCATTTTTTGTACAGCTGCAATCTAAGAAGGTTGACCTTATTCATTTATGACCAGAATCTATTGAACAAGAGATTCTTCCTCTATAAGACTAAGTTTCCAGTTCTTTGAGAGAGTGTTAACACATGCTGTATGATTATGTATTTGATCATCTAGAGTGGAATATGAAATATCATACAGCTTTGCTGCAGCTCATACACTTGAAATTTGACCATTTTTAAATGCTTGAATGGCTAAAAGAAACCTTTCTTTCTAAGTAAAGGTTTTATTTCTTTGTGTGATTGATATTTTTGATGATGAAGATGTTGTTCTGAGATGAGATGAAAAGTAGCTAACTTGCTTATGTGACTGACTCACTTATCAATTATATTATCTAACTGGACATATTATTTAACTGAACACCTCTAATCTGAATTCTTCATATTCATTATATTATTCAATATATCAACCACCTCAAGCAAGAAAACTTCAAACTAAGAAAAAAGACTATTAATAGTCATTAAAGTCTATAAAACAGAGTAAATTTCATCTATTCAAGTCACTGCTAAGGTGTATAATGTCTCTCATAGCACTGTAACTAATAGAGTATATAATGCAGTCTCATATGTGAATTCTCAGTTAAGATATCAAAAACTGATCTTTACAGAGGAAGAATTTTTAATTCAATAAATA